AGGCTTCGGGTACCGCTCAGCGGCCGGGGATCACCGGCTGCTGCCTGCACCCGGCTGCCTTATGCGTCGTCTCTCTGTTTTCCTCCTTCCTGGTCCCTCATGGTCCCCCGTTGCCTGTGGCTGATCTCTCTCACATGTTTTCTGATGCAGACCTGTGCTTTTTGCTGGTCGTTCCCGCGCTTAACTGCTAGGAACGAGCACGTTTAAGAAGCATACTTGTGCTGCTAGCATGGTGCTCCCGTGTTCTTACCCACAACTGCTTTTCTGTCTGTTTGGCATTTATTGTTGTAACTTTATTATCCTTCTGCCAATAGCCAACTCCAGAAAATATCTGCTGTCAGTGACTCGCACTGGTTGCTTTTTACTCTGCCCCATCTAAACGGTGCCATTTTTTCACATGTGCGGTAAGATACTTCAAGCGAGAAATGCTTAAGATCTACAAGAAAGGAAGTGCTTGAGTAGTCAGTATCGTCTAATTTCGAGGACTGAATATAGCTATTTAGTCTAAGGCTAATAACATTTGAATGGAGTTTAGCCTTAAAGTCCTTTTGGAATGTTAATATCACTGTGGCTGATTAAAGACATATTTAAAGGAAATAGCCTATTTAGTTAAATGCTCCTTCTCTTCCTTGGCCAGTAGCCTAGAGTAGAAGTCTCATCATGTCTTGCATTTCTTGTTTTCCCAAGGCACAGTTGGTGTCATAAAACCAATTAATGGCAAGTTCTCTATCCTAGTGGAGTTGTATCAGATGAAAACCTCATAAAGCCAGAGACAGAAGAGATGGGAGATAAATCTATTAGTGAATTCATAGTATTAAACAAGTGTGGGGTTTTAATTATTTTCTTGCTTGTCATGTTAGCAGAGTCACTTAAGAGCTCTGCAAGAGACATAAGGTTTGAGGAGAAAGGTAAATAAGAAATGAGACATGAAACTATGAGATGAGATGGCAGCATCAGCAACCCACACATGTGAAGAGTGTGACTTTAGTATTTTAAAGCTGCTGGTTTTGGTTCATTTTTGGCACATGGTCTAAACATGATTGTGTCCTCAGTATAACAGAGAATTGGGCATAAAGTTAAGACATAAATCTGAAATTTTTTGAAAGAAGCCTTTCCCCTCAGAATAAATGAGCTCTTCCCTCCTTTTCCTTCCGTATGCTGTCATGGTGCCAGGGGCTTTTTGCTGTCTTGTTTGTTACTGGAAGATGCTGCTTTCCTTGGGAACAGACAGTTTCAATTTTTGTCTGCCAAGTCCGTATCTCAGTGTTTTGTCCTGTTATCATGAAGTGTTTTCCACACTTTAATCTCTGTTCTCACTGTAAGCAGCATGTAGCTGAATTCCTAGGATAAGGTTTGTGCTCTGCCTGGTTCCTGACTCCGTACTGGGGTGAGTCTCATAAGAAGACCTGTCTGCATTGAGTAGGCGGGTGGTATGGCACATTCCTACCACCTCTTGTAATTTCACATCGCTGTCTTTGGAGGGAACCCAGAGTACTTTGCACATGTTAATGAACTGAGGAGGCTGGCAGTCTGACTCCAAGGCGTTTTCTTCTCTTTCTTCAGAGTCAAATTATTACCTTCAGGGGATATCCTAGTGAGGAGTATGAGGTAACAACAGAAGATGGGTATATCCTTTCCATTAACAGAATTCCATATGGAAGAAAAGGCCGTGAGAGGAGTGAAGGTAAGATTTATTTCTGCTTGGAAAAATGGGAAGTTATGAAAAAGCTCTCTTTGGTTTGTAAAGCATTTGTTCCTGTAATAATCCAGAAAAAGACTATGCAGTTAGAATGTTTTGCTGGTGAGTGTTATGGCCAAAATACATTAGACACGTGTAAAGTGGCTTGAGTAAAAGAAGGGAGAAGGAATTAGAAAGCTGTATTTCCCTGGTGTTGCCTTTCTGTGGCATTAATACAGGCCCTTCATAGCTGTTTGATTTTTGGAGGGGCTGAGAGGACTAGATTTTCAGGTAAGTAGAAAATAAGCGTTGAGATGTGCTGTGTTTCTCTAAGTAACAAAGTCTCTTGAAAAGAGATTGATTGTAACATTGTTGGGGTATTTCAAAACCCATTTAAAAAAAAATGTTTCTTTATAACAAAGAATGTATGTTGGGTGTGATCAAAGCCTGTGGAAAAAAACTCTGTCTTCTGCTGAAGGCCAAGCAGTAGTCTTCCTGGCTTTCAACTGCTTGTTTTGTATGAGTTAGGATGTTTGCACCGCCCGCTGTCTCTTACAAGGTGGGTGTGTAAAGACCAGGCTGTGGATGAGGCCAGTCAGACCTGGCAGATGTCTTTGTACTTCGGAATTCCGGAGAAGCCCACAGGAAAAAGACAGGCTGCCTTTGTACCTGTTGGTTTTGACAAATCCTTCATCGATGACATAAGCAAACAAAAGTTTCCTGATCTGTGGGAATTCTCCACATTCCCCTTGTCACGCCCTCGACCCCAAGTTCATGTTTTGCAAAGTGCTTTAATTTTGAAAACAGGGATTACTGAGCACATTTGGGGAAGTACAATCTCCTACAAGAAGGAAGATTTCAAAGTTCATGTTGATCTTCAGTTTTTATAGACTTGGTATCTTTTCTCAGAAAGATACCAATGATGTGTTACTGCTGACTTAGCGTATATATGCCATAATTCTTCTTTTGCAATACCTGCTCAATGTGAATAGGATCCCTTGGAATTATGTATCACCTGATGTTTTGGAACGAAACCTACAGTTCTTGAGATTAAAAAAGAAAAAAGAGGAAATGTCTGCAGAATTTAAAAGCAAAACATCAATGATTTTTGGTTTTAGTTTTAACTAAAAATCTAAACCAACTGCACGGGCAAGAAGGACATGGGAATAAGTCTGTTCAACATCTTGGGGTGCAGTGAAAAGAACAAAATATTCTATAGTGGGAAGGGCAGTTTAAGGTCCTGCCTTTCTTATCCCCCTCCCCACCTCTGCCTGTGGTTTTTAGGATGGGAGGAGATACAAAACCATTATTGTCAAAGTCAGTTTGTCATGTGATGGTGCAATTCATGTGCAGATCTGGTGACTGTTTGGTAAAGTGAAAAAGGAACTGGCAGAAATCGGAGGCTAATAGGAGAACAGAATTAAAGCATTGAAGAAGTTAAACACTTTTCCCCTTCCTGTTTTATGAAACATGTGAGCAGTGGCTTGAAGAGAGAGTCTTCTTCAAACAATCAGAAGTTGGTTGATCTGAGTTTAGTAAAAGGGAAGAAGGTATCAAAGCTCAAAGTGAATGTTACTGGAAAAAAATTTAATGTTAGGCTTGAAAATCCTGTGCACAATTCATCAGGCAGTGAAGTATTACTGCAGCAGAGTGAACATTAGTGTTTGGAGATTTGCTCTGGTTGCAAGAACAGTATGCCACAACATGGGTTTTTTTAATAAAATGTGAAAAACAGGTACTGAAAAAGTTCCTTGTCGTAGGTATAAAGGTTGCCAGGAGAGAGGAGTATTGCTAATTTGGATTTTGGAGCTCGGAGCAAACATTTATGGACATGACCTGAAATAGAGGGTGCGGATGACTGAAAGAGTTGCGATTGGGATGCTTTTGCTGAAAGAGCCAAGTCTAAATTATCAATGGAGGCAATGTTGCAGGAGTTTAGCACTGCAGTAGAATGATGTGTCATTGGAGGAGGTAAATTCCTGACTAATCTCTGGTACTGAGCTAAAGTTACCACGTTATCAGAATTCAGTTATTAAAGCAGCAAGAAAACCAACCAAACCACACCTGTGCAACTGTGAGATCCAGAGATGTATCTGGAATTTTCTGAAGGTCATGTTCCTCCTAAAGGATTATATGTTAATTTATTTTCTTTGTGTAGAAGCAGAAACCTTTTTTTCTTTCCTCTCTATCTGTAGGCTACATAAAAGTGTCATTTTCCTTTTCAAGATAGGGAAGTCAGGAGAGGGGCTTCCTAAATTTCACCTGGATCTTGAGTGTGGTTCTTCTAACTTTTTAAGCCAGGGGGAGAAAGTCCTTTGAGATACAGGTTCGCTTGTTGGCTGCTGTTACTGCTCTTCAGGTTCTGCTGGAGCTTTGATAATGGAAGGGAGTTGTAGAAATGTATTGGGTTTGTTAGCAGGGGAGGGGCTATAGCGGTGGCTCCTGTGAGAATCTGCTAGAAGCTTCCCCAGCTCCAGGTCAGGCTTGCCTCTGGCCAAGGCTGAGACAATTGGTGACGGTGATAACGTCTGTGTGATAACATATATAAGAGGGGAAAAACTCCAAACCTGTGGAGGAACCTGCAGCAGAGAGAAGAGCAGAATGTGGGAGAAACACTGATGCAAACACCGAGGTCAGTCAAGGAGGGGGAAGAGGTGCACCTGAGCAGAGATTCCACTGCAGCCCATGGTGAGACTGAAGCCCACGAGCGTTAATAGTGGAGCAGATAACCTCCATGGGCTGCAGGTAGATAACAGGGGTGCAGATATGCATTCTGCAGTCCATGGAGGACCCCACACTGAAGCAGTTGGCTGCTCCTGAATAAGGCTGTGACTCTGGGGGGGACCCATGCTGGAGCAGAGTGTTCCTGAAGGACTGCGCCCCACAGAAGGGACCCACACTGGAGCAGTTCGTGAAGAGCTGCAGCCTGTGGGAAGGACTCGTGTTGAAGAAGTTCATGGAGAACTGACTGCTGTGGGAGCGACCCTGTGCTGGAGCAGGGGAAGTGTGAGGAGTCCTCCCCCTGAGGAGGCAGGAGAGGCAGAGACAACATGCGACAACTGACCACAGCCCCCATTCTCCGTCCCCCTGCATCACTCGGAGGGAGGAAGTAGAGAAATTGGGAATAAAGTTGAGCCTGGGAAGAAGGGAGGGCCGGGCAAAAGTGTTTTTACGATTTGGTTTTATTTCTCATTATCCTAATCTGATTTGACTGGTAACAAATGAAATAGATTTGTTTTTCCCCAAGTCAAGTCTGTTTTGCCAGTGACCATAATTGGTGAGTGATCCCTCACTGTCTTTATCTTGTTATGTTTTCTGCCGGGCCTAAACCATGACAACAGAGATGGTATCAGCACCAACTGCAGAGACTTCCACGGCTCAGCACCCTGGCTTGCCATTGACTCAACTGGAAATCACAGATCTCAGTAGCACATACATGGGAATGAGTTCCTCGGGTTTAGGGGCAGGGCAAAGGTCACAAGTAATTTTGCTGTCTTTGTGTTTAGGCCACTTTGCTGAGTATTTGTGAACTTGAAACAGCTGTAAAGGCTACTCGGATTTTTTTTTTTGTAGCTCCTGCTTTTCTCATGTTTGCTTATTGCACACTTGCTGTCTGTTTTGAACTTCAAGGAGTCTTTTGCTCTAGTTAGGAAACTAACAAGTTACTAGTTTAAAATTCTTAATGATAAGAAGAAGCTTTTTGTGAAAATACGTGATTTCACGGCAATATGAATATTATACAAATTGCTAATCTTAGTAGATTAAGTCATGTAGATTAACTATTTGAAGTGCAAATCTAAAGCAGACTTTCAAGAACTCACTTGAATTATTCTCGGGCACTTAGTTCCATATGAAGAGGAAGCTATGATAAATGTTTTATTTTTCAGGTCCAAGGCCTGCTGTGTTTCTGCAGCATGGTTTGCTTGCAGACGCCAGCAATTGGATCACAAACTTGGATTACAACAGCCTCGGCTTTATGCTGGCAGATGCTGGCTTTGATGTGTGGCTGGGTAACAGCAGAGGGAACACCTGGTCCAGGAAACACACACACTTCACAGTGAAGGAAGAAGAATTCTGGGTTTTCAGGTATCGTTTTCTTGCTGGAGAAACTACACACACTGTGAGCAGGCTTCTCTTCCTGTCTTTGCCCAGCATCTCAGTTCAGTCACACTGTGAACTTCATGTTCTTTTTCTGGTTCCATGTGCTGTCACATATGTAGGGACAGTAAAGGGGAGTTTTGTGGTCAGTGCAGTGTCCTGAGACAGCCCTCACAGTAGAACATTAATTGCTTTCATGGTGCTTGGTGTGAAGACAACCACCAGAGTGTTCTGCTTCATCAAACGGAGCTTTTCTTTGTGTCCGGACAACTCCTTTGCGGTGCAGTAAAGTTCTGTGCAGCTGTTCCACACTGATAACTTCCCTTATACAACTGACTTTTTATCTTTGCTTTGTAGCTTTGATGAAATGGCTAAGTATGACATTCCAGCCTCAGTGGACTTCATTTTGGAGAAAACTGGCCAGGAACAAGTATTTTATGTTGGCCATTCACAGGGAACCACAATGGGTATGTGAAGAGATCCATTCATTAGAATATCTTGTACTTGAAATGGTTATCAAGTTCCACATATGTGATTTAATGACTGAAAAATAGGGCTTTTGAACTCTACTGCTTCTGGTTTTTAGCTGCTTACTGGAATATTCACCAACATTAAAATGAAGAGACTTAACCTTTCTGTGTTTACTTGAAGCAGGAAGCTGTGGAAATGTTAAATTGAGGTCATAGGTAGCCACCAGTACAGTTTCTATGTTTCAGTTATTACAATAAATTGATGAACTATGCATAATAAAATTGGAATTGTCAGACATGTAGAATAAAGATTCCCATTTCCAGAATGTTTTTCTGTATGCAAGGCCTGGTTCAGATGCCTTTTAGACCTGCAAACGGAAAGAGCTGAAGGAGTGTTGGGTTCGTTAGCATGAACTTTTTTTCAGAAGAAAACAAATATTTCTGATTTACCTTATTTAATTTGAGTTCCATAGCAATTTATTTAAATTACAATATTTAAACTAATCCTAGATCCAACAATCAAGCTATTAATCTAAAAACACTTTTGCACACTTTATATTAGATTTTACAGAATCACTGCCAGGTAAACTTCTCATCTAATTTCTGTCAGTGAGGTTTGTTAATCATTTTTATATTATTTACAGCTTTCATTGCTTTTTCAACTTTGCCACAGCTGGCTAAGAAAATCAAAATGTACTTTGCCCTGGCACCAGTAGCTACAGTCAAGTTTGCCACTAGCCCTCTGGCAAAACTGGGAGTGTTTCCTGACTTGCTACTCAAGGTTTGTATTTGAGTGTAACAGCCAAATGAGGTGTCCCCCTTTCTAGCTGAAAACAACATAGCAGAGAATGTTAATAGCTGTGGGTTAAAGGGTAACAGTTTTGACAAGAACAGTGGGTTAGTTTTTCTATAATAATGCCGTGGAACTTAGCAGTGGCTTCTCTGGCTGTATTACTGTCTACTGAGACAGCTTGCATCAGTTTAAAGTAGTATTTTACAATTACAACTGATTAGATGGAATAAAATTATGTTTTTTCCATTTACATGTTTCTAGTATTGAAGCCACAGAAATCACAGGATTAATTGAATAGTTGGCCTGTTTTAGAAGAGTCATATGATAACAGTTAAGTGTGCTGTGTAGAGCTATGAACGTTAACAGATTTGTTTCACAATTAACCAGTTAGTCTTGGACGAGGACCCTTCAGAGGTTGGTTAATAACCAATGATGCTGTGAATTATTCTCTGGATGGGTTTACTTTTCCCCATTAACATCAAAGGGAATGCGGGCAGCCTGTCAGGCTGCAGTAAGTGTTTGAAGTCAGACACTGAACCCCCTGCCATGTGTCATTTTTAACCATCACTTTTCTTTCCACCACCCATGGAGATTCCCACAGAGAGGTGTTCGTTCTGAGAGATAAACCCTTCTCTAATGTACCTCATACAGATTTAATTTAATTTAATTTTTGCATTATTAGTTCCCTGCTTCAAAGGGAACATTAACGACTGTGATCTCCTGTTCCTCACATAATGAACTTTTGTCTAATGAGGACGTAGCTGATCAGTGCCCTGTGCAGATGTTCCTGTTGTGCTGAGGAATTTGATTCTCATGGTGACTTGCAAAAAACTGGGGTGCAAAAGTGCATGACAGCAACATACCCATGGGTCAGGCATATCTTTAAAGAGCTGTGTCACTTTTAAGGAAGTTCTCAGTGGGCCATTTTCAAATCCTTGCATATTTTAAGAATACCCATCATGAGGAAGTGGCCATCACAGCTCATGCAACTTGTTTTTCTTCCATAATTTGAAGAGAGGAAGTTGCAAGTACAAGCCCATTTAACATTAGCAGACGCAGCTTAACATATTTTAGCCTTAAACCATTCTGATGACAAGAAGCTGTACAGTTCCTGTAAAATACTGAATTTAAAATTGATTTGAATTTGAGATTAGGTTTGGAATTCTTGTAAGGTTGTCTTAGTACCCATGCCCTTCTTGTGAGGGCAACGGACTGGATCATTTGTGGCAGAAGCACTAACAGTGACTTCCCCATTGGACTGTAAACAGGGTTAATAAGGAGATAAATCATCTTCATATGTCACACCTGTCACCAGTGGAAATGGAAATAATTACCTCAAGAATGTTGTAGTATAGAAACTAAAACCAGGTCTTTCTGTGTAATGACAAGTTTATCCCATCTATTTGTTATTTTGTAGGACATGTTTGGAAAGAAACAATTCCTCCCTCAGAATTTTTTGCTGAAGTGGCTTGCCACCCATGTTTGCACCCACAGAATACTTGATGACCTTTGTGGCAACTTATTCTTTCTTCTGTGTGGCTTTAATGAGAAGAACTTGAATATGGTATGTTCTAGTGACTTTTAATGACTAGGTTATTGTGAACTCTAACACAGGATTGACTGTGTATCACTGCACTGATTGCCCTTTATGTGCAACTAGAAAACTCCTAATGCTGCCTTCATAATACTGCGTTTGGATGAATATCTTTCCTTGGTATAGATTAGTTGCCCAGATGGAATAGATAGAATTAACCTTTTAAAATGTTACTAGAAAGCATTGCTCTGGGGAAGTGGGTAAGAGAAGTGAATTCACATGATGGTGCAAGTATTTAATTCCTTTTTCAAGGAAGTGAGGACTAAAGTTCTCAACCGTTTTCAAGAGAACTGCTGAAGTTTCCTGGTTTCTCAAGGGATGTGCGCAATTATTTTCTCTGGGATCAGTTTAGGACCCTGCTGATGCTTTCATCTGTGGTCCTAGTTCCAAAGGACTCGTTCATAGGACTTGTTTTTCTATCTGAAAACTAGTTAAAAGCAGCTAGTGTGAGACCACCTTTTTTGGTAGTGCTTCGTAGTGTTTCTAACTCCTTGAAATCAGTAGGAGCTGGTATCAGTTTACCCACAGGTGAATGAAGGCTGAGAATTTTTGTATGAGATAGAATTAGCATTGTTTTTTCACTATTCTGTGGCAAGAATATGTACTTTTTGTATTTTATATCAAGGTGAAAGTACAGTTTTTGATGTTTTCTTGTCTAGCACATACAACTTTCATGGTTTTAATGGTGCATAATATTATTTTTCTGCCACGATTTAAGTTTCCCTTTTTTTCTTCTGAACTCAAAGTGTATGAATTTCTGAATCACTTTGAACTGACAGCTGCTAGTTTAAATGTAGAGTAATACAGAGTTTCTCTGGGGGTCCATCTAAATATTAGTTAATGTGCTCCCAATTCTTACAATACTAGCACTTTTAAAAACATATTCTGAATGTATAAAAATGCTTAAGAGACATGATTATTAGGTTTAAAATCCAGGGGTTAATTATAATGAATCCCCCAAAGATTCAACCCTTTTACCTCATCTGTGTATATGGCTCCAGTTAACTTTTGTTTATAACAGTTTTAAGTGGAATGGAAAGTTTTCTGTTAGTTGTGCAAGAAGCAGTAATAGGTAGAACTGTTGCACTATGATGAGTAAACCATGTTAATGATCTTGTTGCAGAGCCGAGTGGATGTGTATTCAACACACTGCCCTGCAGGGACATCTGTACAGAACATGATCCACTGGAGCCAGGTAGAGTTTCCAGAATCTGAAATGTCCATGACTCTAATTTATTTGAGAATATTGATGTTTCTGGTATTTAAATTGAATGAAATGCAAAATAGATACACGGCATAGCCCAAGTGAAATTCTGGACCCGCCAATTGTCAGAACAGCTGCTGTTCCCTGCAGCTGCTTTGATGATGCTGACTTATGGTGGCTCACCCCACTTCCCTGTTTCTTTGGAAGTCTGCTAACTGTAAGTACTTCAGGCCAGCAAACCATACAACAGAATAACTTAACTCACAGTGATGCTGTAACAAGTATTTTCTCCCCTTTCAGCAAACCCTGTTTTGATTGCATGTTATGTTTTTAGCCAGCAAAAAGCAGCAAGCTTTCTGTTCTGTTCTACTCTGCTTGGCTTCATTTTATATTTTATTAGTATATTTTTAATTTCATCTCAACGTGCAATTTCATGCCTGTGATGCTGTTGTGCCTGAAGCTTGATCAGCAGGCTGACATTAAATAAGAGAAGACATTTGCCATGGAAGCGGAGTGGTCAGTGCTACTTGCGATCTTGTAGCTGGACTTGGTCACCTATTCATAAGCAGTGTGTTCTGCTGTACATAAGTGTTCAAGTGTTGCCTCAGGATATTTGTTAAGACTTCTTTATTTTTCCATATCCTTGTTCTTAGACTTCTCTTTCTGGAAAATAATAGGTGGTAAATCATGCAGAGTAGACTTCCTAAGAAAGCTCCATGCTGTGTTCATATACATTGAGACAGCAAGGTAAATATTTCAGAAATAAGCATGGAGCTACCGTATCCTGCCTTTGGATACACTAAACTGTTTTCCTTAATCTTTCCTACTGCTGCTGTGAAAAAGTGTGAAATCTTAAGGGACAAAGTCTAATGGTTTTGAATGTTTAATGTTTCCCATACCCGTGACACTGGGCAAAGCAGTGATGTCCTTGTCGATACTCATCATTTCACTGTTTCTTGTGTCAGCTGCCTTTGCCAGTTCTCCAGATGACCTATACTTTTTTATTCCTGCAATAGAAGTGTTGCAGGTCTTTTTATGGGTGAATATTTGCTCATTTCTAGGCAGTGAAGACTGGGGAACTCAAAGCTTATGACTGGGGGAGCAAGGCTGCAAATATGGCGCACTACAACCAGGTAGATATCTTTTATGGATATGTTATAATTCTTGAATGTCATGACAAAAGTCCTTGGACACTTCTGTGGGTGCTGAGTTTATCCTGCGTGCTAAAGAGCCACTAGTGTTACCCAGTAACTAGACTGGAGATCTGCCTTTAAAAAAACAAACCAAACCAACCCAACCCAACAGGACTGTACATCTCTGAGGTAGTCTTAAGTCAGTATAGGCCCCACTCTCTGATCCAAAGTTGTGATGGCACACTGTTTCTTGAGGGTGGTTCTGCCTGCCTTGACCATGACATCCCACTGCATGTCTCACACTAAGGCGCAGGCTATCAGTTCATGTGTATTGCATGTCTTCAGCCTGTTTGTTCTCCATGCAGGTTTGTTTCCAAATTCCTGTGTGCAATACTAAAAATATTTTGCCCCTTGCCGCTTTGGTGACTGGGAAGTACTGTAGTATCATACTTTTAGACTAGCAACCACTTTTAGTATTGGATTAGGGTTTAGAAATAACTTCAATGGGATGCATTCTCTGAGACTTCTGCTACCCTGATCTCTTGTAAACTCCTCAAACCACGTTCTTACTGCTCTGCATGCTACAATATTGCAGGACTCTTGGAGTTACATTTTCTGTAGAGTCAGGGCTCCATCTCTATCTCTAGCTGCCCAGGAGAGGAAGAGAAAATGAGAATCTGACACATTCTTCTTGCATTTGCTAGTATGTTACACTGCAGTGAAGTATCACACTGAAGAATTGTTCTGTCTAATGCTCTTGTTTTCACTTTCCCTCTCCTCAGTCTACTCCCCCTTTGTACAAAATAAGAGAGATGACTGTACCAACCGCGGTGTGGACCGGTGGACACGACTGGCTGGCAGACCCAAAGGATGTTGCTATGCTGCTGACTCAAATCACAAACTTGGTTTACCACAAAAACATTCCAGAATGGGAACATTTGGATTTCATCTGGGGCCTTGACGCACCTTACCGCATGTATAATGAAATAATTAACATGATTAGGAAGTATCTCTAAACCAGCATGGTATTTCAGAGTATTAACTCACCAGGAATTCGTCTTTTTGGAACATAACGCTTTTCTGGCAATAATGCTGCATTGTTTACTTATGGTGCATTTTTAAAATGCCAGCAACGACTACTGAATTGGATTCATATTTGTTTTTTGTTTTTCTCAGTATTATTTCTCTCTCCTGCAGAGAGATCTCCTGCAGGTATCACTGCATCCTGCTGATATTGCACACAGTGGCATGGTACTCAAAAAAAAAAAAAAGAAAAAGCACTGCTTTTGCACAAGAGGAATACGTCACGTGCGTATAAATTTTGTGACATGTCTGAAAGACAAGTTAGCCCATTCAGCACCTCAGGTGCTTGACACTTAAAACAAGAAGTATTTCCCTGTGCATAAACCACTGCCGTTTCTGAGTACCTTTCAGAAGTACTCCTTGTACTGCAGTGACGCATTTGGTGCTGGTACTTTAAAAAGCACTTAGTGATTTTTTTTTGCTGCGTTGTTATTTCAGCCATCACATACGAGCTAGCTACGTCGGATGACTTTCAGTATTGCCCAGAAGAGCTGTCATGAAGCCAGAGAAGATCACCACTCAGTTGAAATCTCCTGGTTTTGGACTGACTCATTGCTGCATTTTTCTTGATTTAATAGAGTCCTTGGAGCCTGTCATGTTTCATGTACCAGCTGTGGATAAGGATCATCGTTTGCCCTTGCAGATTCCTGGAACAAGAGAAGCGGTTAAAAGAAATACCACTTTCAGTTAGCTCTGTCAGTAGGTTATAGCTTTCAAGGAGAATGATGTAACATACTTGTGTTTCGTTTTTCTTGCACTGACCACTAGAAAACAAGCTCCCCCAGTTAACTACTGGTGAGGAAAGAGCCAAAGCATTGATTCTATAGCTTGAGTGACTTAATTTGCATGGACTCATCATCTTAATCAGCTGCTACTCTGAAAATCTGTTTACTTTTTAGCTGCTCATATGGTGTTTGCCACCACAGTGTTGAGGAGCTGCACAGCCTGGTGAAGCCTGGCAGTATTAATGGCAGTTTCCATTTGCCTCAGTTTTCACTTGAAAATGGGGCTAGGCCCCCATTATAAGTGGGGAGAAGATTCACATCTGCTTCAGAGGTTTGACTTTAGAGCTGTAACTGTCTGTGGTCCAGGTGCCTTGCTCTTTCCATTGACTTGGGCTCCTCGGAATTGCACAGAAGTTCCATGCCAAATGCAGATGGGTGAACAGTCTCTAGAGTTAGTTCCCTCAGTCCAGATGATAATTTCTGTGTCACGGTTGGAGTTCATTTTAAACTGAGACAAAGATTTTTGTAAAAAAAAAAAAAAAAAAAAAGAGCAAAAAGATGCATAAACTGTAAGTTTTTTGTGGTTTTGCTTGTTTGTTTGTTTTTCCTAATTCAGACTCAGGGAATCCTCAGGCTTTGTTTAAGGAAAAGGTGATTGGTGATATTTCAGTTGTGATTCCTAGCAGGACCTCTAAGTTTGCTTTATATTTCTAGCAGCCGTATTTGCTTCACCTTGCTGTGCTGAAAGGAAGTTTCTGTAGCAATCTGAAGTGGCTGCCTTAGCAGTTGTGAGGGGATTTGATGCAGCGAGAGCCGTGCGCGTTCTGTTTATTAAGCTTGAGATTATTCAATAAATATGAGACCTGCTTGGAGTTCTGAATTTTTCTTTTTCTGAGTCTCAAAGGCTGTTCATGTCATTTCAGGGAACTTCCCTGAGACTTTTCACTAAGGTACCAGTTGTAAATAACTTCTCATAGGATGGAGTCACTTTCTAAGCCTCCAGGTGAGGCTCCTTACAAACTACTGACATGGTGAAAAGCTTCTTGTATCACATTCTTAAACCCTGGGTAATTGGATTGCTTAACAGACTGTCAGGTAATCTCATAAATAGCATTTAACCACAGAGTAAGGTAGGGAGCTAATCTTTTCCACGGTACATGTGGCATGATCACCCAGCTTTTGACCTTTGTCATCTTCAATAAGAAATATGCTCGGGCTGTACCTTTCTGTACATTCTGAATACAGTAGATATGCAGTCAAGATAGCAGGGTGTGTTAAATTCGATGAGTCGCCAGCTTCGTCATCTGGTGAATGTGCTGCATGCCTGGAAATAAAGCCAGAGCAGTGGTATCTTTACACAAAAGCCATCATGGAGCTTCTCTCCGCTATGGGAATTGTGAGCTGCTGCGCTCGCCCTGGCCTGCTAAAGTTACAAGCACTGTGTGACACAAACTTGGAGAGATGTCAGTGGAAAGAAATGGGCAAAATAAGACACCCTGAAGGTGGAGGAGAAGAGCAGGAAACTTGGTCTAATAAGGATGTGAAGTGGCAATAGGTACATTTTTCAAGGCAGATTTTACGTACTGTAGACAATTTTATGTTACAAGTGTATACACACGATGTTGAAGGTTGGCTGAACAGCTTTGGGTAGTATAGAAGTGTCCTAGCGAAAGCAAGGGCATAGAACACCTTCTGCTGACTTAGTCTCAGCATTTAGTCCCGTGTTCAAACTGTGCTAGAAAGCCAAAAAAAAGTAGTCCCCGTGAACGCAGGATGCAGGGCTTTGCCTCAGAGTTGTGCACCACAATTGGGTGTACGAGGGCTTGCGCACACGAAAGGGGACGCGCTCGTGGCTGCAGGCCGTACTTGGAACTCGAAAAGGGTTTTTTATAGCAATCTGCAAATGCATTCAGGCTGTTCATCTCCTGCAGAAAGACTAAAGGCAGCGGTGGTGCACGCTGAATGACGTACTAGCTCAACGCAGTGCTTTTCTACACTGTGTAGTGATTCTGTCGCTAGTGATAGCACTGGCAAAAGTTTGCTCAAACACAGAAGTGCCTCAACGTAGGAAGTGGTGGTGAAACAGAGCTCCTGCTTGCTGGGGCTTTGTAAGAGGAACGGTTTTGTTAGCCTGGGAATAAAATAAAGCAGTTTTCTGTAAATTACTCGTTATGGTGAACGTGCCATACAAAAAAAAAGGAAACATGAATACCTTAATACCATGAAAAGTTACAAGTGGCTCTAATCTACAAAATACAAGAGAGAAACCCACAAGAGCAGGTTTTCTGATATACAACGTGAAAGATTTTCCTGTAATGGAAGCATTTGTAATATCTTCTTCCTTTCTTTGATATCTTACAGAATGCAAACTCGTGCTACAGCATTGTCTGTCAAGAGTGCTAATAATGACCTCTCTTCTCTAGTAGTCTATTGTCAAGTAATTTTGCAGTAACAAAATATTTCTGACATTGCTACCCTGCAGTCAGATTTCATTGAAATCACCGATGAAATAAGAAATTACGAAGGTTAGATGGACAGTAGCCATACCAGTAACATGGTTGCCTAAGTCTTTTTTTTCTGAGGATACTGAGCTGAAAAGTGTCTGTATTGCATTTTGACTCCTCCAGAAACGGTGAATGTGTGTAGTTGTAGAGGATACGGAGCAGTTTCTCACTGTGGATTTATGAATTACGAGTGAAAAAAAATTTAGGATCTTTTTCTGGTTGTTATTATTTTGAGAACTGATCCTGATAAGGTGAAGCTTGAGAAGTAACAATTTACTCTGGTGGCAGCTTTCCAACCCAAGCCATTATTGGGAATCCTTTGAAAAAAAATCTTTTATTAAGCTTTCTTTCCGTGCTGGCTGGAGAGGTTTTGCAGTGGCGCTTGGTTGGAGAGGTGGAGTGTTGACATGAAAACAGTTTGATTAAGAAATGTGCTAGTTCTGTTAAGAAGATTATTTTATGTTTAGGCTATGGTTTTCCATGAGAACTGAAGATGAATGTGCTCCTCATCCTCAATTACTCGGCATACCCATGGGCTCAGGGTTCAAGCTGCTTTCCTGGGAGGTGAGGAACAGAGACTCATGTCCCTGGTTCGAATTCACATCCTGGACTTGAATCTCAGTATACTTGAAAGATATAAACAGGCAAAGCTCTCTGCCAACCTATTACATCTGTAAGACCTGTGACAGAACTCTACCTACCCGCGCTTCTGTCCTGCTGCAAAACTGCACGTATTTTGTTATCCCTGAAAATTTTAACCTAAAGTGTCAGAAGTATTCCCTGGTAACGGCAACGTTAACAGAAAGCAAACGCTTGCTTTGACAGTACTTCGGTGCGGGGTGCGGGGTCTGGGGTTTGCGGTGCGGGGTGCGAGTCGCAGGGTGCCGTTCGCGGGTGGGTGCGCTGGGGGGCGCTGTTGGCTACGCAGAGGCCGCGCAGTCCCGCGGGGGGAGCGGGCAGCGCTGCCCCGAGCCCTGCGGAACCGGAGACTCCTTGCACTCGGGCCCGTGGAGTGAGGTGAGTCAGGGTGTGAGGTCCTCAGATTTATTGTATTTTCCCAGCATGGTGACAATTTATTTTAAAATGATGGAAGGGTCTGCCGCTGCCTGCCTTTGCTCCGGTTACTGTCCTGCTTCCCTGCTACTGACCCAAACGAAGTTCCCAACCCTCTTCCCCAGCACCCTTTTTCTGGTAGAAGGCTCAGTATGCACTGGGAGGTTGCCTTAATCTGGTACAGCAGTAATCCTACCATGCAGAGGGGGAGAAGAGGAGGTGGGAAAAAGAGCCTTTGCCTCTGCTGCTGTGACATTAGTTTTGCTGAGTTGATCCTGATTTTCTCTCCTGCTAACTGTTCCTCATTTTCCTACCCGCTTAGTGTTTTGCTGTTTACCTTATAGCTTGTACCTAATAGTGCAGCATGGGGTGGGCGCTTGCATCTTGTGCTCATGTGGAATCTATTTAAGACTCTTTGCGGGGCCTCATTCCAAACTATGTGCCCTTCAACCTAAACTCTGTAGCAGAAGTCTTGATTTTTTGAGAGCCCCGTTTAGAATCATGTAACACATGGGAAAGTTTGGCAGCATCGTAAGTTGAGCGAAAAAAAGGCTGGGGTCATGTAGCTGAATTAAACACAGAAAGGATTTGGGTGTACTTTGTCTTTTCTTCATGTTGTACCTCGCACTGACAAAGAAACCGAAGTCAGTGGAGCGGCAACCTGACGAGTGCTTTGTGGTGGCTGAGCCAACAGCTTGAATTCGATTTCTGGAGAACAAGGGTTTGCCCTCTCGGGTGCTGGAGGATTCATTTTCCTGAGCACGCTCCCTTGCAGTGTGCACCCACGGACCCCCCGGGGCCCCGCCAGGGGGGCCCCGCCAGCAGAGCCTTTGGGCGCCGGCAGGGGGGGCGCTGGGAGCTGCGCTGCGTTCCGAGGTGAACTCTGCTCCTTTCTG